TATTCTTTGTAAGCCCTTAATTTAACAATACTACTCCTCTATAATTTACGTAAATTTCTCCTCTTTGCCCTCTTTGAGGTTCTTCTATCACCTTCTAGGAAGAGAAAGATATCACCTGGAAGATAGAACTTGGAAGTCAAGTATACAATGACATCACGTGAGCAATACATTGATACCTCACAATCAGCTTTTAACTGGATAATTCATTTGTAAATCTGGACAAAACAGATGAAATATGCTGAAAACCAATTTTGTTAAACATGATGAATTTAAATGATGAATCATTCAATACAGTAAGGTATTTCGGGAAATCTCAATTCGGTGGTAATGTGATATCCTGGCATGTCTAACCCGCAGGTTTAAACACGCATTATCGGGTTAGACAATCAAGAATACCTCCTTCCCTTGTTGAGGTTTTTCTTTCATATTCTCAACATTAAGGGACATATTTAATTAGCCATTCTACTAACCTAGTGTAAACAAAACAAAATGGCTTCTTTAATCACAATATCCTTGAATATCTTTTCTGAAGTAGCGGTTGACATGAACTAGCGGACGAGACGTAGCACCAAAGCCGATAGAATCAGTACACTTACAGTATAACAGTTTGTCTTCCCTACACAGCAACATGTCACAACAACAAAAATAGTTGACTTCCTTACAAAAGCATACATCATAAACTGTTGAACAGAAGCATACATGTATAATGGCTGGTTACAGATTATTCAGTGTCTGAGCAGTTATATTCTAACAAAGCCGTATTACGTAAAACGATGTTGGAACTACGGTGACTTGCACCGTAAACAGCCACACTACACTTCTAACGTAAAAATAGTTACGCATATAGGTGGAGGAATCGGTCAAGTGGCATAGGACTGAAGGGAATTCATCCTAATTTGATATGTAGCAACCTTAGGCAACGATGCCTCATTTTTGTTTATAAACTGGGGGTATGACCCCGATGGGGACAGAGGAGCGGGGGAAATAAGAGGTAAAACTTGAAATTCTTCTTGTAGCGTAGGGATTAAAGGATTTTATCCTAATTAGTCTGGAGTATCCTTGGGCCAAGGGAACTCAATTTTGTATAAACGGTGGGTGACACCGGTCTTCTACCATAGGGAGGGATTACGGGATTTTATCCCAATTTTTTTCCATCAAGTTGTCTAGAAGTGCCTGTTACTATAAGAATGTATTCATTAAAACGAGATGGCCACCAGGCCGTCATCTTTGATTTTGACAATTGAAGTTCGTTCTCGCTATATCTCCAAAAATACTGGATGGGTCTTTCTGAAAGGTGGGTCCATTTTTGGCTCACGCAGCGATTTTTCCGTATTTTGCAACAACGTTTCTAGACTGCATACAGGATTACAAAATGAAGGGCTGAGGTCCCTAGGGTCTGATTTAGCCCAATTGGAGCTCCTTGAAGTACTCCTGCTCAGAACATGAAGTTATACTTACTCAAGAGCCTGAACAATCACCATTTATATCTAGCTAATTTGTTCCATTATAATACTGCTTCGTAGGTGTGGTTGTACTTATTTACTAGAATTTTTGATAACAGTATTGGGTTCTTTCTCAAAACTGGAGTCCAAACTGAGCTTTTAAAAAAGATCACTTGACATTCCTCGTGTTATACTTTATAGTATCAGTCCACCAAATATTATTGCTTATAAATTATGCTACATATTTATTCTATGTATGGTAATAATATTTGTAAATTCTGAAACCGGTAAAGTTTTCATTTCCATAACTTTAAATTAAGTGACCCATTGTTCTGACTTTCTACTAAAAGAGTAAAATAGCATTTGTAGATATAAGTATAGCCTGTGCATAGAAATAACCTATTCAAAGTGAAAGTATCCACTTTAAAGCTCACCTGGTACGAAGGATCGGTGAGCTTATGTCATGGCGCGGCGTCCGTCCATCCGTCCGTCAACTTTTCCTTTAAAACGCTATTAGTTCTGAACGGACCAGTAGATTTTGATTACATTTGGTATGAAGCACCTTTAGGCAAAAGGCACTCACAATTGTGTAAACGGTAGGTGTGGCCCCCCTGGGGGCAGAGGAGTGGGGCCCAATAGAGGAATGTAAGGTTTAAATTTTGAAAATCTTTCTTCTGTAACATTAGAGGGATTCTAACCAAATTTGGTGCAGAGCATCCTTTGGTAAAGGGAAGTCAATTTTGTATAACAAAGGGTGTGGCTGTGGCTGGGAGGGAGGGGGAAGTTGGGTGGGGCTCATTAGGGTAAATTGAGTTTAATCTTAAAAATCCTTCTCCTTCCGTGTGATCGGAGTTATTAACCAAATTTGGTCCAGAACATCACTTTGCAAGGGGGACATGTTTGAACAGAGAGTGTGGTCCCCCTTGGAGCAAACGGGAATGGTCAAGTAGGGGGAACATAGTAATGCATGTTTAAAGTCCTTCTCCTTCAGTTTATTCGGAGAGATTTTAACCAAATTTTGTGTAGAACATCCTTGGTCAAGGGGATTCAATTTCGTTATAAATAGAGGGTTGCTTTTACGGGGCAGAAGGATTTGGCCCAATAGGGGAACTTGAGGTTAATGTTTTAAATCCACCCCTATTCATGGGAGCAAAAAGAAGAGACCTAATGAGGGGCGGTTGTTGCTGAGATCAAGGTCAGCGATACAGGGCCTCTGGGACTCTTGTTTTTAAATCGACGTTTGAATGGGAAAGGTTGTTACGCAATCAAGGAAATACTTTACAATATTAATGTTATTTTTTTTTTCAAGTGTTCATCTTGATTTGGCTTGAATAATCGGCTTTATACCCTTATTAAGTTATATATTAAAACTTTTATCTGCTATATTATCAAGCAACGCTTTTTAATAAAAATAATAATTGATATTGCATAATCAATATGCTACATCCATACACGATAAGAAAGGGATAAACAATAGGTGTGTAATAGAGAGGTGTGTTAGAGATAATATCAAGAGGCGCAACTTTGGATAGCAGGGGTAGGCCTCGCTAAAAAAATGTAATTAAGTGAGATAGATTCAATCTAAAACAGTTTAAAAACAGTTTAAAAAATGTAGTGTGCATAAGGAAACCTCATACCGCCATTAAAGAGGCGCTCATCCGTTAACAACGCTCTAAGTCTTTTGTTTTCAATTATAAAAAAAATGTTCTAATACAGACACCATATTTTCAGACAAACAATACCCTGCACAAGTACATTTATAAGATATTCACATACCACACAAATACACACGCACACGTATGTTGTGTATACTTATACTGAAGTGTAAACAGGGTAACATTTGTTTATGTACATGTACCTGCACACTAACATTAAACTCAAGCAAGCTTAGGTACAATAACATAGACATTGTCCTCTTTGTGATTTAGTTTGGTCTAAAAAGGCAATATTGCACATAGAGAGAACCAGTAGGTATTTTATAAAACCATTATTTTATGAAACCATTATTTTATAAAACCATTATTATTATATCCATATCCCACTCCTCTGGAAATGAAAGAGACATTTAGTCTACGACTTGCTAGACAGATATCACTGGCATAATTCGCAGACGGTTCTTAGTACAAAGTCAGTAAATATAAACCTGATTAAAATGACATGCAGCTATAAGACACGAACCATGATAGTAAATGATAATATAAAGTACCATGTGATAGGCACGGATTACTCCCCTTTCTCCTTTGACATTCCAAGCTGTTGTCAGTGCAAACATCACAACTTGATGCGCATACCATCCCAGTGAGTATGAATAATACACAATTATAGAGAATAAAATTGCATCTTATATCATAAACAAATGACACATTATATTTATGTAGAAGGGAAGTCATTATTTAAAGATGATGACATGTGGTATAAATTGCTAGTTACGTATGCCATTTTTTATGTAAAAGGGAAGGCATTATTAAAAAATGATGACATATGGTATAAATTGCTAGTTACGTATGCCAAACGAGGCTGTTGAATAAAGTGACGTATTATTGTTACAGAAAGACATTGTTTATCCTATAATGTTAACGTTCTTCTTGAGGTACCCATGCTTAGTCACAATTACTAGTGAAGATATCAAATGTTGAAGATAAGCAGTAATTCGTAATAAAACATATTTATGTAAGTCACTTTATTTCTTATATGATGCATTATACTATAGCCAAATATTGGAACATATTAGTGTCAATGCAAACGTCAAATTCTAAGGAAGGTGTTAACGTCTCTAGAGTATTGCGATGCCGGTGTAAATCTCTCCGAGTATTTCAATGCCAGTGTAAGTCTCTCCGAGTATTTCAATGCTAGTGTAAGTCTCCGAAAAGAGTCACAATACAAGTTGGAACCTCTGAAGTGTAAATCAATACTAATGTGAGCTACTCGAGTGTATGTTTTTGATAGTGTAAAACTCGTGAGAGTATGTCAATGCTGGCGTACGCTCCTGCTAGTGTAAATCTCTCAAGCAAAGGTCAGTAATAAGTATAGATTATCACACTGTGTTTTCAGGGTTTGTCACGAGAACAAGTTCCTTATTGCGAGCCCATTGATAAAATTAAGAGGCCAGCGTAAATGGGCTCAGAGTATTATCCACAGTTTATTAACTGTTAATCATCGATATACTACTACCATATATATTTCTCAGTTTAAAAATCCACATTTCATTTCTTTTATCCGACTTCTACGCCTAATGACTATCGAGGTTGGTGTTTTACGCGGAGGAATACCATGCACCTTAAAGTTACGTAGAAAGATATTCCATTACAATATTCTTGTCATAACATACTATTTTCTTAAGTGGTAAACAGTTGTGTGAATACTGCCTCAGGTTCATGACGTCTACTAGCGCGAGCAAACATCCTCTTATGATAAAATCTTATAAACTCATATTAGCCCGGGATAGCTACTGGTACAATGTAGGTGGTATAAAGTAGTAAAACAGCCAACGTCAAAGAAGACTATCAGAAGTACGTTTTTCGTCGCTGGAGTTATCTTGAATTACTATCAGAATATAACGATTTTAAGAAAAATACAATCGTTTCATTACTTCGTAATTATTTTGTTTTATTCAGTATAGCAATATTTGTATATGCTAATGGATTGTACACCAGTAGAGATCTTATCAACGTTTGTACGAATAAAATGTCAACGGTTTCAGAGTGGGTTGTCAGCTGTTTACAATTCTCGGTTTCAGCAGACGCAGTGGACCAGAGATGCCGTGCACATCTTTAACTTTTACCTAAAAACAAAATGTAAATACATTTAATATATGTAGTTAATCGACAACAAGTACAGCATGCAAAGAGACATTATATCGAACACGTGATGTTCTAAACAGTAGAGTAAAAAACCCGTTATACCGACATCATTTGTCCAGAGAATATTTGGCGTTTAAAGGGGTTTGGCAATAACTTGAGGGGACTGTATAAAGGTATTCTGAAGAAAGAAAACAAAAAGAGGGACATTGAAATACGCTGGCGGTAAAAAAAGGGATGGCAAATGAAACGAGGGGCATTATATCGATACTTTGATGTATAGATAAAATTTTATACAATAGAAATATTTATCGACTATTGATGACACCTTAAAACCCAATATTATTCGATTTTAGATTATTTTCGACATATTACAAAAAAGTATATCTGGTATCAGGAACATTTATATAAAACAGCTATATCAAGTATCGGGACATATATTGAGACGTAAGTACATTTTACAAATGTGTTTTAATTTAACTGATATTGTCAGTCTAACCTAATCACGTTTTACTCACATCTTCAACAATACAATGTACTATTACACAACCCAGCGGTGGTGTTTAAAAGATAAAATGTATTGGAACAACAGATAATATCAATTATCTGGAACACCTTTCAAATAGCATTCAAATTATTTGATCGTTACGATAAAAGTATAAGGTATAAGACGACCTACCAGAGTGAATGTCCCTGCTGCATATGACGGTAACAACCAATGAATGGCAGAGCAGACTGTAAATGATGGAAGATCCTCCTTCTCTTTTATTGTCTGATCATCTGTTGTAGATGACAATCTACAATCAAGTACGAGTAGGTATGTAAATCATATACAATATTTAGAAACCAATAACATGTATGTTGTTATGAGAGTTTGTGCATCCAGTTCAATACACATGTGATGTTTTTATTTATGTTATAAGATAAAACTCAACAACCATTTTACTCACGACCAAATGTGGGAATGCTCTAACATGTAATCTATCTATTTCTAGTGTCTAGTGGTAGGTTGCTGAACTCGTGACCGAAGGGTTGTGTGTTCGAGTCACGTCACGGCACTGTGGTTATATCATTGAACAAAACACTTTACACCGCTTGTTCCATTCTACTCAGCTGTAAATGAGTACGTTGTTGGGCAGTGCTTGAATTGTTTCATGATAGCTATGAGCGATTCAATGGCAACGTCAGCTGTATGCTCCCCATGGAGTTGAGAAGGCGATTGGCAAAGACCCTATAACCACATAATTTGTGAACCGCTTTGAGACGACCTACGAACTAGGTTGTGATAAAACGGTATATAAGAATCTCAAATTATTATTATTATTATTTCAAGACCTAACTACTTTTGTGTATTTTTGAAGGTCACGTTAATGACAAGTCTTGACAATCATTTTAGTTGTACTATACTCAAAGTGTTTTCCGTCATAATAAATTTGATTCAATATATCAGTAACAGATACTATATATGAAACATGATAACTGATATCATCAGAGTATTAATAATAATTTGTGACGAGATTGCTACTCCATTGGAACTATGATGGTCTATCCAGCATTTTTTCGTCATCATAACATATAAGGTCGTAGAAAGAAGGTACACACAAATGATTGGGCTTCACAAGGGTTTTGTATTTATATTATAATGTTATAATTCGGACATGGTAACAACCCATCTCGTCACATTTTTCTGACCATTAACTAACCAGTCATGCAGCAGGTACAAAAATGAGAATATCCTGATTGAATAAACTTGATTTATTTATATAAGAAGAATTCTTTAAAAGTTTCCTTGTCATGATATTTTAGTGATGATTTGTGTAAAACCGCCGTTGATGAAATTTCTTGGACCATTGGTTAATCATCTTAAATTCACGTTAAACTTTTCCCAGCGTGAAAAGACCTCGGGAAACAGGGTTGTGTACTTTTGTAACTGGATATCATAAACTTGTGATTACCTTCTTCCTCTGTATGTGCCGTCTGTCAAAACCAGCTGCTTGATTGTTGCCAGTAGGGAAAAACTTCAGTTCAATTAAAATAAGGAACCTATAGGTCTACTAGAAAAAACTGCGTGGAAATACATGTATCATGTCTAATATTGAAATGAACAATAATGTTTAAAAATAAAAAAAGCAAAAACTGCGATAAGTTCTGAAATCATAGCTTATTTTACTGACACGAAATATTGGTTTTCCATTATATTTAAGACATTGTGTTTCGCTATTTTATCATTTGTACCACTTAGGAAACCTGCAATCAAATAAAGCAGTTAAAATGCATTTTAATTTTGATAATATATTTACCAATTATGGTAAAATATTTAAACATGTAAAATCATAATCCATAACATTTTACTGTAATACAGTTTGTACAAGATAACTGTTAATAGACTGAAAATAAAAAGGCAGTTATTATTCATTCTAATTTTGATAATATATTTATCAATTATGATATAATAATTAAACATTTAAAATCATAACACATTATATTTTATTGCAATACAATACAGTACAAGATAACTGTAGATAGACAGAAAATCAAATAAAGAAGTTATTATGCATTCTAATTTTGATAATTTATAGACAAACTATCATATAATATTCAAACATGTAAAATCATAACACATTACAATATTGTAATACAAACTGTATAAGATGACTGTTGATCGACTGAACAATATGTATGATTAGAACACAATATCATCAAAATTGACAAATGACATCAGCATGTAGATAACAATTTATAGACTTTGGAATACATTATCATATACTTATAATAAATCATCAGCAAGATGTAAAACACGAATGCACTGGAAACGGACACGACAACGGCACATATACAGTCATTATTCGCTTAAAAAGTACAACAGGTGATTTAAAATTAGCTGTAATTTTATACTTAATGTGAGAAGGAAAAAAATACTTGAATCATTCCTATTGAATATCTTCAGGAATATTAATGTTAACATTATAATGAATAAAAAAATGTTGATGAAATGTAACGAAAATTAATGTAAAAAAGATATAATGGTAAGACAGCTTGACTTTAAATGCTAGAACATGTATATATTAATTAAATATTGAAGAGTTTTTGAATTTTAACATGGCTTGACACGAGTAAATGAAAATGAGAAAAATGAAACTACAAATCTGGATCGAGTATGTAAACATTTATGAGAATTAATTAATCACTTACCTTTTAGCTGTTCGTTTGGTGTGATACAATACCTAATCATCACTGTATGGTACTTAGATAGTCATATACATGCATACACAATAATATGATGTAAATATTCTTTACGAATTTATGCCCTTATATAAAATTGCAGTTAGTAAATGAAGTTAATAAGCGTTGATGGTAGACTTTGGCATAGATAGAACAATATGCATCAAAAACATGTACATGTGAAACTATTTTCATTTTCAATATTCAATTTGTTTGTATTGATAATAATAAAATTAATGGTATACAATTATGGACTTCAAGTTGGGAGTGACATCAAGTGTTGTCTACCCGAATCAGGTCATATCATCGTCCCGTCAGTGGTTCACAATGCTTTTGTCACACTAACATGAGGTCAATAATTTGTTTATTAAATACCGAATAAACGCATGTTGTATATTTGTTTAATAGTACAACCACAAAGTATATTATTCAACTTATTCCAAACACAATTAAAACTATCACTGAATACGTCCTTATCTTTTAATTGACTCGTTTAAAAGCTACGATGACGATGCAGAAATAACCATTGCATAATATATTTAGTATATTTTACCGGTCGAGCCAGCCGGTTGTATTGTGTCCCCGTCGACGCGGAAGATAAATTTGCCAGGTACGCCCGTGTTTGACTTGTGTTCAAGATTGATGACGTCAGTGTAGTCAGAGCTGTTCACAGTGTAGCTATTGACACCGTCCCCAGCATTAAACCCAACCTAATGAGTGATATAAACCTTACATCATTACTGGCATCGACACATTATTTCTGAATGTCAATAAAAAGATATATATCGATGTCTGCTTATCTTATCATAGTGTTAATTAAATTACATGAATGATAAATAGAATAACTTGAAAGATAGATCATTTATTGAAAAGAACAAAAGAATTACGGAATAATAACGTGACTGTAGTTCTTAATCATACAATAAGGTTAAAACTCAAACAAAATTTGCATGCATCACGTGCAGGGTAGTATAGCCCTTAAACATTAGCAGACTATAGATATGTATGAAGTTGCGATACCATCAGTACAAGTATTTATACTGTCTGCCAATGTGAGCCTACAGTTTTGAGAGAAAAAATGAAATTTAAAAATAAAAAATTAATATTAATATGCTTAACACACACGCATACACTACACGCATGCATCTTGCACACAGGGAAGGCCGTTGATAAATGCTTAATACTAAACCAAACCATATAAAATTACATTTCGCTTTGTGCATAATTAAGTTCGTGAATGTACAACCTTTGCCGATTTAGCTTTATAAAGGATATGTTTAAGGATCCAAGTGTCACTGAAAACCTGTAACTAGGTAAGCGTGGGTTCTGTCGGGACATCACAGATTCCTTAAAAAAGTAGTCCCTATTCCCTGCTTGGCATTCAGCATAAAGGATAAAGGCTTTGGGCTCTGTCCCCTGGCCGAGACATACAAGAGTCTGTAAAAATGGTAGTTTCTACTCCTACTTAACGCTTAGCAATTTAGAAGTAGGAAGACTGGTTAACCCGTTGTCGGTATAATGTGACCGGACGAAATGCTATGCTGGGTTCCTTCGGTGTGGCATTTCAGTGACGTAGCCCTATAAAGTCGGCATCATATCTGCGCTATCAAAAGGACGGAAAATACACAAACATACCCTGCATCCAGATGCATACACACAACCCTCATGGAGGCATGTCCTTAAAAGACCTTAGCTGTTGATAGGACGTTTAGCTTTAATAAGCCAAACCAAACCTTGAGTATTGGTTAGGGCATTTGAATCTAATGTATAGTCTGTTGCATCCTTGGGTTTAGGGATCCTAACGTTGATCAAGGGTGTGGATAACCTGAGGACTGTACAGATCAAAGTACATGAAATGAAGTCAAATATATTAGAGTCCTACTCCTTGAGAACAGATTAAGGATTTTAACATGATTTGTTCTCAGGGATCCTTTAAAATACATACATGCTACCTCCATTTGCACTGGCGACCGGCCTAATCCCTGGCGACTCAGTCCATGACTATTTTCTTGGGAACAGTTGAGATCCCAACCCTGAAAGCACATACTGATTTGCTGGGCATGGTGTGACGAACACATCCATGCTACTTAGATTGCCTCGGGGTCTGTTGTCATTCCTGGGGACTTGGTCTCCGGGTCATCAAATGGAAACAGTTGAGATCCCTATCCCATATAACCATATGTACAAAGCATAGTGAAACCAATAGTCAGGTTATCAGGATAATCCAACCAACCAGTTGTCTGGCCCTGCAATGGAAACTCATACTGTTCTTAAAGAGATTATCTTGTCATGATATCCATATTCTGCCCTTTGGTCTGACAGATAGATAACGGCGACGAACATGTCAATATCTTTAGACTTTATTCTTCAAAACCGTAAGAAAATACAACAAAAACATATAACAAAATGTAACAACTGTAAAAAACTACAATAATACTTGTAGGGTACTTTACGGTATAATATTGATACATCGCAACTTGGAATTTAATTCACAAATCATACAAGGCTGCATGATGAACACATGTGGGGATTATAGGTGGACATGTACGGTAATATTGCAGAAGTTGTCAAAGGGAAGTAACTCCAGAACAAGGAACAATCAATTACAAATATCAATTTATTCCTAACATTGATAATTTCTAAGGAACAAAATGACTAGTAGTGTATACATACTAATGTATGCTATTGTAATAGAGTTATGCGACAATAGGCGACCAGTGGATAACTAGTGACAAAATTGTGCAAAATTACTATGAAATGTTGCCGCTTGGCATAGTTTGCGACATCACACATGTATGCATTCATTTTCTAAAGTTTTAGCAACAATGATTACACTTTGTTACTGGCCTGTCAAATCAGTGCCACACTATCGGTCTCTCGTCACTTAGGTAAACAACTTGTTTATCGATACCGAAAAACCGGTCTGTGAGATATATAGCACGCAAGCACAATACAGGTAAATTGGCTCCAGTGAGAGGTCACAGGCCGTCGCTGTTCGGTGCACAAATACAAGAGGTGGACAATACATATGGTGAAATGAAAGAGGTGTTGCCAATCCCTGCTATCTACGTTCGTGGTACTATGTACCGTTTATGTGCATATTTAACACAGTTTTAGTGTATTTGAATGCCCAAACTACCGTGATATAGTCGATTTACAACCAGGTATTTATATATTTGTCAAGTTATTATGTAACCTAATACACACATGTAGATTGATAGAGGTGGTAGCCATTTTAAGTCGTTTTATACACAGCAGGTTACATGTTGTTTCGTATAGATGATAATTATTTTGATTGGGTACAGTAAAATTTCACCCCAAAAAAGTAGGAACTTAGCATACTTATATACGATTAATATATTTGTGTGTAATATTTGTCTCCTCTGATTCAAAGTAGTGACATGTCGGGCCATGTCAACATATAGTTTCTTTTAATATCAGATCTGGTGCAAAGGAAGACGCAGTTAGGATTGTATGTGAAGGGTGGTGTAGACGGGAACTGGAAACCTCAAAACGTTAGATTAATGATAAATGTCGTAAACACGACTACAAAATACAATGAATCGTTAGAGTGTACATCATGTACCATATGTAGGTCATAATAACATATTTTTGATATTATTTCATGTCTATGAAACGGGAAGCATTTCACATGTACAAATACTCGTACGTATGAGGAATTACTTGTAAATTACTTAATGAACATTGACAGTAAAATCAAGTAACCGGTGGAGTAAACTTGTAATCTTAATCTCAACCACTACGAAATGATTAATGCATATTATATAAGTGATGTTTTGACATGAACAAGACAATAGGGTTGGGATCTATCTGTATGTTGAAAAGTAGAAGACATGCAATCACTCGTTTGTTTTTACATCTTTAATGTTAAATAATTACTGACACTGCATTTATCAGGTTACGATCATAAGTTCCTGCATGTCTCGATGAATTGAGTCCGATATCTTAGCGGTGAGGATACTGCAAACATGTTGCAATGTTATTACTGGTATTAAAAGAACAAAAAAGGATGTTTTACAAATGAATCTTCAGGAAAGACTCGTAATGAATAAATAATTACACTATTTCTTCAGTAATCACAAGTTATACAATGTAACGCCATGCACCCAAATTCCCCACCC